CTATTGATGGGATCAACACGTACGCGTACGGGCATGAGAAAATTGAACCAAGAACATAGGTGTATATAGGTGACATGTCACGGAACCAAAGAAAGTTTGAGGCTATTTACTACAGCCCGCGTGGGTACTGGAAAGGAGCTAGTGCTGTACATAAGCTGGCTAAAATGGCTGAAAGTACCCCCGAGGAGGCCAAAGCGTGGCTTGAAAACAAGCCCTGCGGCAGATCTATTTACCGGCACCACGCTACGTGCCTAGAAGGAAATTCGGCATTAACATACCCAATAGCGTTCACCAGGCCGACCTCCTATTCCTACCCCACGATAAGAGGTACAAGTATGCCCTTACCGTAGTGGATGTTGCCAGTCGCTACAAGGAAGCCGAACCCTTAACCATGAAAGATTCGGCCCAGGTAGCCCGCGGATTCGAACGCATATACAAACGCAGTCGCTGACATTGCCAACAGAGCTGCAAGTTGACCCCGGCGGAGTTCATGGGTGTCGTGTCACAACTGCTAGCCAAACACGATACAAAGGTCAGGCGTGGCATGGCCGGAGCCCATCGCAGCCAAGCCATAGTTGAGAGATTCAATAGGACTTTGGCTGAGCGCTTATTCGGACATCAGTATGCTAGAGAGATGACCAACCTGGGGAAACGGTCGACTGAATGGGTAGTGCGGCTACCTAAGGTGGTGTCTGTCATAAACCACGAAACCACCCGCCTCACCGGCAAGAAACCAGCAGACGCTATCAAACTAAAATCAATAGTGGCAGAGTCGGCTGCCCCATTGCGTGGGAAGGAGAAACAGATACCCGATAGGGCACTAGTGAGGTACCTCTACCAGCCGGGGGAACACGAGGGTGACGCTCGGAAACGAGCCACCGATCCTATATGGTCAATCAAAACTTACAACATAGATAAAGTGGACATCAAAGCCGACGAGCCGAACTTGTACTACTTGAGAGATGGGCCAGGGAGAGCTTTCGTTAGAGAGGAATTATTAGTCATACCGTACGGTACAATGTTACCTCCTGTCAACGTGACATAGTGCCACGGGTAGCGATGATGCAATCCCAGTATAGACCCGTTAAACCGAGATACTTCAGCTAAGTCCCTGGTAGCTCAGTCGGTTGAGTGGTGAGGCCTATTATAGTTTGCGTGTGGGGTTCGTATCCCGCTGGTGCCTCAACTTTTATAGGTGAAAGTAGTAGGGGTAATGGGGCGAGATCTAAGGGCCTAACAAAAGCCTTATTTGTGAAATAAGGCTTTGCAGAGGCTTTTGTTGGACTTGATCCCGTACAGCTATTCCCCCTACTACTGTTGGTGACAGGAGGTGGCTTGGTATTCTTGTTTCTAAAAACAAACGAAGGAGTTTAGAAAACTTAAGGCTGGATATGATTGATAGAGGAACTGTGGCTGTCTGTAAGCAGACAATTAGAACTGAGCTGCATGCAATGGGTTGGCAGAAAAGTCGAGGAATTCCATCACCGATCATGAAACCTGAACAAAAGAAGTGAAGGTTGAACTGGTGCTTACAGCATAGATATTTTAACTGGGACAATGTGATTTTCTCAGATGAAAGTTCTGTGTGCTTGTTTCCTAATACACTGAAATTCTGGACCAAACAAACTGAAAAACCTTTGTATCAGCGTCCAAGGTACAGTCCGAAATTTAACGTGTGGGGTGGCATATCTGTGTTAGGGGCAACACCCCTCTGTGTATTTGAAGGGAATATGAACAGTGAGCGGTACACAGATATTCTTGAGGGACATTTACTTGCATCTGCTCACGTGTTCTATGGAAATTTGGGGATTTTCCAGCAGGACAACGACTCAAAACATCGTTCAAAACATTCACAGGCCTGGTTTCGGACCCAAAATATGACATTATTAGTTTGGCCAAGCTATAGCCCTGACCTAAATCCAATAGAAAATGTTTGGGGACTTATGAAGGAAAGTGTCAATAAGAAAAATCTGACAAATACTGCTGAAATGAAAGAAGAGGTGGTCCGATATTGGGACAGCATGGACCATGACTTTCTAACTTCTTTGATCAGTAGTATGCCCCGCCGCATTGAAGCCTGCATTGCTGCCCATTGTGACTTGACAAAATACTAACTGTTCACCTGTCTTTGAATCTGGAGTTATGTTCTGCTAATATTCACATTTAACTCATTAAGCCCGAGAGCCATGTCACTACTCAACACCTGGAACCCCTTGCTGATTGCCCGCTCGCCCTGCGAGACTAATTATTGCTAATCACACCTGATTTCCCTGGCAGGTTTCGGGGATGACAGGAAACTGTCTAGTCATACAAACAAGTCCTGATTGTTTAATTGTGTCGTAAAGATATATGTTGGAAGAAAGCAGGTGTGAATACATATCGTGTATTGCAAAGTTTTATGTAATTTTATTGCAAGCTTCTCTTGTGGACCTTTGGCGGCTTGTACATTTATGTTTTATCACCATTTGCATGTATTCTTTGTATGTAAGAGATGAGACACTCATAAACAAATTCTCCCTCTCATATCATTGTGTGAGGTTTAATTTTACAAAACATCTATGACAATGACATACTGTAAAGAGGAATTTACTTACATACTTTATCATATTCGACGAAAATAGCGTTTTTGCCGATACATTTCTAGTGTATACGAATTATTTTTTAATGAAAGTACTATAACGCTAGTCTGTGACTAACATAGAGCACATTCAGAGCTTGGCACTTTGTTTCATCTAGATTTAATGCAGAAAACATTTAATGCCCATACAAACATACATATAAAAAATGTATACTACATATTCCTTGCATAGAAATATAAAAAAGAGTCACGTGATAGGGCTTCATCAAATTTGCCGAATAGAACGTTCGGCATCTCAACTGTTCAATATAGTGGCTGGTCATATGTTATCTGTGACCAATCGTATCATGTGATACCTGTCACAGAGGAAAGGACAGGTGATGGGGCATGGGCGAAATTTCTGTAGAGCACGTTTGGTCACTCAACAGCTTGGACAGAGATTGATTATTGGCTATATCGTTGACCAGTCGATATGCACACTGGTAACGATGTATGAAATATACACATAAGACAAATAGGAGTAGATAGACAATTTGGCGAGTTTTTTTGTCCTCATTTTAGTGTTTTTCGATACGTAAAACAAAGCGATTGAAATCAGACCATTGAGTAGAGATAGTATTTATTTTCATATAGATTTTACGCACCCTAGTACATAAACATAATGGTTTGCTGTACATGTAAATATAATCTTCACCTTGATACGAATGAATATCCAAACTAAAGTACATGTATTACAGAATTCACGAGGTGACACTATACTGAATTATTATAGTGTATAAACTTCCAGTTGTCCCCCCCCCTCCAAATATTTATGGAGGGCGTGCCTATATTTATACTGAATGCAAACGAGGTTCATAAGATTACAGATGTGCATGCATGCATAAACATTACAGAGAGGGGCGTGACTCCATAAAGCAAGATGTCCAATGATATAACAACGCATCTGTTTATTTTACACTTGTCACGGGACAAACCTTTCAACAAGGGCGTAACTACACATGCATTCTACCGGAGACTGTTATTTCAAGGTCGAAAGAGGTGTTGAATTATCTCATTATTGTAATCTGATTGAATGATTATACGCATGTGTGTTGATACCGTAACTGATATACTATCCAGATTTTATTGACGATGGATCAATAGAGACTGAGTTAATTGATACACGTGATAATTGCACCGGATTTGATAATTACAGAGATCAAATACAAATGTTTTACACAGTGCTCATGTAAATTGCATAGAAAACTGACAATTCAAATCGCCTGAAGACCCGGGTTCGAATCCCCACATGGGTACAATGAGTGGAGCCCATTTCTGGTGTCCCCCGCCGTGATATTGCTGGAATATTGCTAAAAGCGGCGTAAAACCAAACTCAGTCAGTCAGTCAGTCAGTCAGACAATTCAAATCAACATGAAACTTTCAACAGCTTGAACAAAAATGCTTGAAATACCTTTGAATGGTTTACATGTAATAACTTATTATATTACTGCTGTCTGTGTGTGAGAAATGTTTGAATTACCAACTTACTGTGTTTTGTAACAAATGTAGTAAAAGATTTCATTGTTGTAATAACACTGACATGTATATATTCCATGAAAAGGCGCGATATTCGATTAGGTAACATTATCAACTTTAGATTAAGGAAAATAACTAGTTACAATTCAGTAAGCTTCAAAGTAGTAAGTTAAATTATGTGTAATCTATTCGACCTTGGATGTATAATTATTTGTGTTTATACATTATGTTTCATTATATGAAACATGACAACGTAATAATACCTAAAATATAAATTCAAACTATTCTATTGTGTTTGAATTCTTTGTATGTCCTTGAAATTTCGTATATTGTTTCCTATTTATAAGGAAGTTGAAGAAAATATAATCTTCAGTAACCTCTAAACCATTACATCTAATTCAATCAATGTGCATACGAAGTATTTTAGTATGAAGAATACCAGACACTTACCTCTGTAAAAACATCATAATCCCCCTTTCTCGCAGACATGTTTCATTTGCCAAATGCTGTACAAGCCCATGATAATGATTAGCAATTGCTATCAAAACACTTTAAATACTTCTTCTGATTGACATTTAAGGTAGCATCTCTCGCAAGAAAAGCTAATATTTGCTCAGTACTGCTAAATTGTTGAAATAATAGGTACAGTGCGATTTTTAAAAGTACAACACACATGTGCGTCTCTCGCTGAATAAGAGGTGCTTTCTGTTGATGAATATATGTGGCTCTCGCTGTGAGAAACTGCCAATTACCTGCCCCATAAACACGTCACTCGCTGTGAGGAGCTGATAAATTTGCCCCATATATGCGGCTCTCGGCCTTAATGAGTTAATACGTGAGTAATGAGTGACAAAAATTAAAAAAATTACAATCGTTAAATTCACAATAATTTCTGGTTGTACTGTACCTGAACAGCCATATCTTGTAGTTTGTGTGATGGGCAGTGTCTGACAACAGCATTTGGAACTTGGCATTCTGCATCAGTCTGTTTCCATCTCCCATCTTGTAGGCATCTTGTGAATCCTGTAGCAGAAGCGCAGCCTTCATAAAAGATTACCAATGTAAAGCCAGATGATCAGTTTTTTACTCTTCTGTTCACTTCTGGCAAAGAAAACATAGTCATGTTGCTTTTCCAAGTGCTTCCGGAATGGTCCAAGAATCTTGTACACTTTGTGGCAATAACAACATGCAAAACAGGCTGTAACAGTAGTTTGGAGTAGCCATGAGGTGAATCATGGCAAGACCAACGTTAGTTCCATAGGCTTGTTTTGAACAGAGATGTATGGTGGTAAAGATAGATGATAGATGTGAGCTAAATAAACCTAAGTAACCCTGGCCAATCCTGGATTTCTCTTATGATTTATCAGTATGATTTTGATTGATTCCTGAATGTCACCCATGCAGGACTAGTTTGACATTGATTTATTCAGCAGGAAAAGAGTTAATCATTAAGGTGAGTTCTTAAAAACAAACTGGCAACAAAAAAACCCAAACTAAACAAACACAAAGACAACAAAAAAAACTACTGTCCTTTGTGAAGGTCTTGACTTTAACCTTTTACCTGCTTGGTCAGCAATATTCCATTTATCCATAATGAATGGATTCAGGTTTAGACTCCTGTCTCAATTCAAAGACTTATGATTCTGTAATTGAACCCACTCAGGAATGGTTTTTCATTAAATACTTCAGCAGGTAAAGTGTTAACTGTTTTGAACAATGAAACGAAAATGAAATGAAACATGCCTGGAAATAACTGTCAGCTTGTTTGTTATGCATACCAAAAGTAGATTCATCATCCTCTGCAGCCCTTCTGGTCGATGAATTATGCCTGTTCATTTGTTAGGACATCTCCACCAAAGACCGTCCTTTGGATGACATTTGAATGTTCATCATCAGAGTAAGGGATGTACCTTTCATGGATGTGTTCCAATATTGGTATCATATGATTTGTTTTGTTTTCACTCTTGTCCAAGAGATCAAGAATGACATAATCTGTCTCTTGTGATGTTTCTTCCAATGTGGATGGGGCAAATATTCAGGGAGACAACTAGTATACTTGTTAAAGCAATCAAGGTTGTACTTTCATGATATGAAAACAAAAATTCTGGTCTAAGGCATTGTATTCTCTCAAACTTTGAATGAAGGTTCTGTTTTCAGTGCTTTTAATGTCAGACTTTGGAGGAGCAGTGTCAAGAGTTGGATAAGTTACTCGTTTCCTGCTTGCAACAAGGAGAAACTAGTGCCAACTTTTGGTTCTTACTTCTTTTGTCATTCTTGAGGGCATTCTGGTTATATCAATATTGTCCCCTAGTATATCACATGATGAAGTTGTTTCTGGTACTTCACCTTTTTTATGTTGCATGTTCAGATGAGTGACTTCATCCAGTGCGATGCTGTCAATCTTCTTCATCTGTCTGTTTTTCAGCTCCTTTCTCTTCAAAGCCATTGATTGTGGTGAAACACTCATGCCAATGTTGTTCAGAATGTCTAGCGTCTACAATGAAATATAGGCCAGTATGACAACCAAAGTTTCATTAACACTCACACATGTAAATAATACATTTTGACTCATAATACATATATTTCATCAACTAAACATCTGAATTATCTGATTAAAGTTTTTGAATCAAACTTTGGAAATTGAAGACATTGGATAATGATTTTATCACATTTTAATACATTTATACAAAAAGTGGAAACTTCAAAACACCTTATTAGTTGCACCCCCATGATCCAACACCCGTCCGATGATATGTTGGACAGCTGACTGACAACGATTAAATGAATTCAAAGCCATGGAGGCCAACTATCCTGCTCGCAGAATATCTGCATTATTTTATCAAGCAAAGGAGCATTTACTACCATTTGTCTGCGTAAGTTACCAAGTCGAAATCTGGCTAGGCATTCTGGACTGATTTCCTGTAAAACGCAAATTGCAGTCTTCTTACACATCTGTACACATTCCTTCTTCAGTCTCTTAAGCACTTCAGAATTGACTTCATCCTGACAATGCTTGTAGACTTTTCAACACATTTTCTCTCTGTTTTCCTCTGGTAATACAGTACAACCAGAAATTATTGAGAATTTAAAGATTGTAAATTTTGTATTTTTTTCACTCATTACTCACGTAATAAATGTGAATATTAGCAGAACATAACTCCAGATTCAAAGACAGGTGAACAGTTAGTATTTTGTCAAGTCACAATGGGCAGCAATGCAGGCTTCAATGCGGCGGGGCATACTACTGATCAAAGAAGTTAGAAAGTCGTGGTCCATGCTGTCCCAATATCGGACCACCTCTTCTTTCATTTCAGCAGTATTTGTCAGCTTTATCTTATTGACACTTTCCTTCATAAGTCCCCAAACATTTTCTATTGGATTTAGGTCAAGGCTATAGCTTGGCCAATCTAATAATGTCATATTTTTAAACCAGGCCTGTGAATGTTTTGAACGATGTTTTGAGTCGTTGTCCTGCTGGAAAATCCCCAAATTTCCATAGAACACGTGAGCAGATGCAAGTAAATGTCGCTCGAGAATATCTGTGTACCGCTCACTGTTCATATTCCCTTCAAACACACAGAGGGGCGTTGCCCCTAACACAGATATGCCACCCCACACGTTAAATTTCGGACTGTACTTTGAGGAGCTGATACAAAGGTTTTTCAGTTTGTTTGGTCCAGAATTTCAGTGTATTAGGAAACAGCCACACAAAAACTTTCATCTGAGAAAATCACATTGTCCCAGTTAAAATATCTATGCTGTAAGCACCAGTTCAACCTTCGCTTCTTTTGTTCAGGTTTCATGATCGGTGATGGAATTCCTCGACTTTTCTGCCAACCCATTGCATGCAGCTCAGTTCTAATTGTCTGCTTACAGACAGCCACAGTTCCTCTATCAATCATATCCAGCCTTAAGTTTTCTAAACTCCTTTGTTTGTTTTTAGAAACAAGAATACCAAGCCACCTCCTGTCACCGACAGTCAATTTTCTGGGCCTACCTGCACCTCCCTGGTGCTCAATGCCATATCCATTTGCAATATATTTCAAAACACGATAAACAGTGGACAAAGGGATGCCATTTCTACTTGAAATCATTTTAGCTGATGTCCTTGTTATAATACTGTAAAATCAACTTCCTCTTCTCTAAATCATCCATACTGAGGATCACTGAAAATGTCGTCTGCTAGCAAGTAAACAAAGGGGGATAACTCTTCACAAACTAATGAAAAAGGATTAACGGAGTTGTCTCTCTTGAATGAAACCAAGCACTTGATAGCTGGTCAAGGTTGTTTATACTAGAAATCCAATTAAACACATTCCTAAAATTCTCAATAATTTCTGGTCATACTATACTTGTAATGATGTCTTTAATATCTGTACCTTTAATGGACCTACTTCTTACCCCTTCTCTTGATGTTTGTACTGTCACCTTCAATAGGGAATGTGAGAACGGAAATGTATATTGTAAAAATTTATCACAGGCAAATTGTAGTATGCTTCGGTTCGAAAAATATTTTTAATATCAAAATAAAATATCGCCATCATCAAAGGTAGACACCCATTTCCTCACAGAGTTGTGCTCTCAGATTTCCAACCTCATATTTAATAATTTTCTCACGTACAATATATTTAATTCAACATTTTAAGTGCCACTCGGGGCATGTCAAATGACATTAACTATATTGTACGTGAGTAATTATTAAATATGAGTTTGGAAATCTGAGAGCACAACTCTATGAGGAAATGGGTGTCTACCTTTGATGATGGCAATATTTTGTTTTGATATTAAAAATATTTTTCGAACTGAAGGGAAGGAGGCATGTTGCCAACCTTTGCTCGCTTCGCTCGCATATGTCAAGACTGGTCATTTTCTCGTTGTTGCGCAACCCTATTTGCGCTACAATTTGCCTGTGAATTGATTTACCGTAATTTTGAAAACAAATTCAACACATTTACATTTTGTGATCTGACAATGGTAGTTACTGATTGAATTATCAGATTAATAACACTGTGAAATTATTACTGTAGGAAAATGGGTTTTTCTTTGGGAGTAAATGTTATATTTCACGCTATTGGGTTTTTATTTTGTAGGAATGAATAAGTTTGGGTTTTCTTTTTAGGCTTAATAGATTACTAGGGGTGAGTGTGTGAGAGGAAGTCTGGTATTTATTTTGTTAAGTTTGGTTCAGTTTATTTTTATTAACTAATAAATTGTATTTGTTTGGCGAACTTGAATTATGTTATTTCTCTGCAAGAATCATTAGTCATGACTTAAACTATCATAGAACCTAAACGAAAGGTTATAAAGGTTCCGGTTTCAAGGCAATAAGTCAACATCAACTCAAAAAAAAATACACAACGCAAAGTCTGCTATTGAAACCGTTCAGAAACATCGAACCTAGAACCTTACTGTCACTGGGTGATTCGCCACAACAGACTTGCCTATTACAGATTTGGTGCCGTGACCAGGATTGTTTTGTCATTTTCTTAGTGAAACCTAATTGATTCTTGTCAGAATAAGTAACATTGTTTCTGGAAAAAAAATAAAAAATCTCAAAACAAATAAAGTATTACATTTTGTAGTTTTATTATGTGAATCCAGGTCTGTTTCATCATACAGGTTTATCCTGTTGAAACTGATTAGAGGTCATAAAGTACATTCATAGAGTACGTTTAGAAAGCAGAATTGTAAAGTTCTTGGTTTTGCAGCATCTATTGTCAAACAAAATGGCATCAGGGGAGACACGCGATTTATATTCCATGGCACATGATCAGGTTGAGTCCCCTCCAGATAATCTGGACCATGCTCTTATTTACTTGTCAGATTTAGGTCAAGTGGGATTTGTAACCTCTACACCTAATGTTTATCGTTCAGTTGAAAACATTGGTTCATCTCATGCACTCCCAAGTGTTAGTACACAAACCAGTAATAGTGAGATAATGGGTATTTCATCATCTGTAAATGAAGCAATGCTGAATTTTCAGCAAGGGTCTGCTTATGGTAGAAGAAGTAGACAAGATAGTCGTTCTGTACATTTTGGTGTTCCACTTGCAGATAGACACTTTGACAGGCAGAATGAATTCTGGAGATACAATCAGAGGGCACCTTCAGCAGCAGGGTTGGTTCCTGGTCTGACGTCGAATACTTCTTTGATAGATTCTAACTGGACAGGTGATAGGGTTTATCATAGTGATTGTGATAGCTCATT